TGAGCTGCGCACGCCCACTGTTGGGAACAAATGTTGGCTTCCCTGCAAAACACACTACTCAGTCAGCTGTGAGTTTGACAGCAAGGGGGTGAGGACAGGATTGATCTGGCATGATCTATCTCGCTGACAGAAGCTCCTTCCTTGAGCGATAAAATCCTTGCTTCCTGCTAACATCTGCAAACATCATGATCTCGGACAAATCAGCTCCCGATAGAATCCGTCCCTAAGACGCAAGCGTGAAAAAGCACCTCTCGTGATGGTGGCTGAAGAGGCTGTCTTCACCAAACAAGATTCCCAAGCTTGAGGAGAGCTCAAGAGCTGAGCCCATTGTGTATCGTTGCAAAGACGACTTGAAATTGCAGGAAATGAAAAGTTTTGATATGTTTGCAATTTGTCGGTTTTCTTTGTTTTCGCCCTATTGCATTCCTGTTCCAGGCGCAAAATTCGTGCTTTTGGTGCCTGTGGCCGGTGGTTGGTGACTACGTCATCTGATTCCTCTACAGGCGTTGGTGAGACCGGCATGTGGATTGCAAGCGCTGGGATTTGGTCTTTCTGCCATGCCACGTGGCATTGTTCTTTGGATGTATATCTCAAGAAGCCTTCCGTTGGAAGAGTGCCTCAAAGCCTCACAATGCGCTCGTCCTGGTTTCTCAGGAAGGAGGTCGAATGAAGGCAAGATTCCATCGTATTTTCTTATTCACCTCCTTTTCGGATCCTTGGACCACCACATACCAGCCGTGCCAGTTAGGAGTTCACTGCCGAGGTCTTGCCGTCCTCACACTCTGTTGAGCAAAATGCGGCACTCAGAGGGGGTCTCCTGGTATCATCACCATGACCGTCCTCAAGGCGGACATACCACCCTTGTTGAGTGTGGGCCTGCTGGAACATTTGAAAGCACAGATCGACTTGGAGAACAACATCATCCATTCTGCAGGAACACAGTTTTGAGACTTAACTTTTCTGAGGGTCATTGCTTCGCGGAATGAATTAGCCGCGTCAAGATACTGGGATGAACTCATAGAGTTGGATGCAGCCTGTTTTCAGTGAATCCAACTATTCCTTGGACTTCTGGACACATAGTGTCATAGTGTGCACTGATGCGAGGTTTTGACACGAAACTTCGGCTGCTTTCAGGCCGGAAACATGATGGTTCTCTCGAGTTGGGGCGAGATGGGAACCAGCAGAGTCTGAAGAACTTTGGCTGGTCCACCGATGCCCGTCGGAATCATCGGAGGGACATCAACTTCGAGTGCCTGCAATCCACAGCACTCCAATCTCTTCTTCAAGCCCTTGGCGGCTTCGGCCCCAATCAAATCTTGGGTTGCACCAATGTCCAGAATGGCCTCTCCGGATGGAATGGTCAGGAAAGATGGACACAAAGCGAGCGACTCGTGACTCGTCCAGGCGCTTTCAAGACTTGCAAATTTGAAACTCTCCAAAATGAATGTTGCATCCGCAGAGCCCTCCAAGGCATTGTATGAGGTTTGCAACCCGGCACTGTGGACCGGCACACTTTCGGGTTTCTTCTGAGATTTGCCTGAACCCCTTCTGGTCTCAGATTGGGTGCTCCAACTTCAGTCGTTGCTTGTCTCCTTGCATTAAACAAAGACTGTGAATTGGTTCTTGGTTCAGCCGGAGTGGCAATGGACCTTATCCAATTTTCCGGACTTCAAAACAGAACGTAAACGGGGCATGGAAGATGCCCTCTCCAGTTGCGACTCGTGACTGGTCCACTCTCGAAAGTGATTGGTGCATCGGCAAAGCCCTCCAAGGCATTCTACGAGATTTGCAACGAGGCACTTTGGACTGGCAGACTTTCTTCTTCCTTCTTCTTCTAAGATCAGATAGAGCCTCTGGTGGTCTCAGATCTGGTGCTCGCACTTCAGTCATTGCTTGTCTCACGACATACAACAGAAAGTGCATGTCAGCGGTTGGTCCAGGGGAAATAGCGATTGACGTCTCGTTTTACGGAACTCAAAATTTAAAACGGAAACGACTTGCTGACTCCACCGTAAATTGTGCAGCTTTGTTTGTCTCACTTGGCAGTTGGCAGCAGCAAACACCCGATTGTGCAGGGATGAACGGTTGGCTAAATGTGGTACCTCAAAACAATGCTTTTTCGTTGCAATACTTCTCTGGGAACAGGGTTTTCTTCTCAGATCGACGAGCGTCGGCTGCCCTGATGCTTGAAATTGCAATGTGACCAGGCCACTCCTTGGCAAAATCTCTGGTCCCACTTCATGCCTTTCAAGCCTGGGCTGCCCCAGTCCATGGCTGCTACTCCTACACAGATGCAAGGCTACTTCCGCACAAATCTAAGCCCTATCCTCCGCAGCTCCTGCTGGTTCTGTGGAGAAATGTCATACTTCCACCTCTTTGGCAGTCTTGATTAGCAAATGCCATGCCCAGTTAGAGAGTAAACAAAAGCAGGAAACTGATCTGATCTGGAGGTCGTAGCGATAAAACTGTCATTTAGTTCTGAAGTTTTATCTGCAGGAAAGATTCGAGGCTGCGCACACATTGCGAGCTGTGTCTTGCTGTGACAAAGACACGCCCACTCCATTTTGACGTTATTTTTACGTCGAGTAAGGAGTTGGGCTGCCACACAAATACTTCCCTTTTGTTTGCAAGCTCCTACAGGTCCAGTCTGCCAGACCATGACTTTTATCGTATTGCAGAACGACTTATCATGCGGCTGCCCCGGACTACGGTACCGTAGCATCCGTAGCAGCTTTTGCTAGCAAAGAGCTTGCTTAGTTGAATATGTTAAATGCAAATCTTTCTCCTCCTCTTTTGGGGATCTTGGGACTTTGATGGTCGTAAACAAGATGAAGCTACATGTTTCAATGATTCTTCCAGCAGCTTGTCTTCTTCCAGTCGCAAGGTCCAAAACCTAAATGACCCCACTCGCTCGTGGCAAAAGAGCCCAGCGAAATCTCTCGGATGCGCTGCTAAACATCAGCTTGCTTTGGCCAGTTCATCGGCCGACCTTTTTTGCGAAAAGAGCATCTGCTTGGGAACCTTCGTACCCAAAAGTGTGTTTGTGCGGAATTGACACAGGTTCACGTTTTACTGCTTGAATTATAACCAAAACATTCACCTTCATGTCCGAGTCAGGTTGGACTGCCAAAAACCCGGTAAGGTGCATAATATCCGAGTGCTTAACAAGTTCCACGCTTTGATCTGAACGTAGACCGGGTCAACTTTTGAGCAACTCTGTCGCCGGAACTTGTCCAGTCTTGACGCAAATGCTCCATCAATAATGAAGTCCAAGGCCACGTCCACGTTGCAACCGTCCTGTGAACTTGGGCTAACTTGCGCCAAAAAATGTGTAAATCTGGCCACGTGGTTATGTTTGGATCTGGAGAACAAAAACATACATTCACCTTGAGTAACTACTTGCCAAATGTTTTTTAGACTCTCCTGCAGCTTGTTATGAGGTCCATGTAACAAATTCACACCAGAAATGAAAGTTCATCCAGCAGAATCCATCCAAAGAATCCTTCATAGCGACGCTGAACTTTCTCTAGATGCGCGCGTGTTTCTTCGCTGAGCATCTCTCAAGCATAGGCCTCAAATCCATCATGACAATTATGCACATCTGATTCAATTTGCTGAAATCACCTCTGCTCTACCTGTAACTACCTCGCTTGATGATGGCTGCCCCAAAGAGAATCCAAAGTGCATTTCCCACACACGCATGTAGACAATCACTAGAAATATACAAATGCAATATGTATCAAAGTATGAACCTGCGTCCTTCTTTCTGTGATGGGAATTCAAACAATGGCTCGAAAAGACTCTCCATGCAATCATGCCGCACAAGAATCTGACTGCCAAGGCACTTTGGGAACTTTGGGAAAAGCTCAGAAAGGATGGTGTTTTGTGCAAAGGAACGGGCAACAATACCACAGTCTTCCACATGATGCAGGAAATATGAGTGGATAAGACATTGAATCATGCGCGAGCCGAGTGCAGGCAATGCAGGCGTCCTGACAAGCTCGCAACATCCACGCACCTGGGTTTCTAGTGTATGCGAACAGCTTGTGAAGTCAGTCCTTCGGAGTGGCTTCATCTCAAATCGATACAAATTTTGCAGCTCGGCCGGACATTGAAAACCTCAGGTCTTGCACAATTGCAATGGATCACAGCAGCGCTGCGGCACAAGGACTTGGCTCTACATAAGAAGATGACATGAAATAGATGTGGGATAGTGTTCATGACAAAATGGGTTGCACATTTTTGCACTACAATGGACACTTTAACGTTGAGGTTTGATCCAGCATGACATGTCACAAGTGAAAAGTTTGCTGGTCTATTTTTGGCGCGGCGTCATATATAGAACGTGCCATTGCTCGAGCCCTTCGCACATAGAAACACACAGCGATCGCATGATGAAGAAACATCACAAGAATTGACAAGTTGGCAACAACAAGTGGAAACCCTCAAGCCACGCTAGCGCAAACCCATTTCTACCCTGACGTATTGGATCCCTTGAGCCAAGCGACGGATGCGCTTGGATGTTTTGTCAACCCGATTGGTTCACTGCATGGTAGGTGACATGTGCTGATTTCCACGGTCCCCACCAAGACAGTGAGAAAATGATGGCAAAATGCCTGAAGTCCTGCCTCAAATTCACGGCGGGCTCTCTCAGAACTGGCCCGATGGCTTCGGTTCTTGAAAGCTGGATCCTCCTTTCTCTTCCTAAGCTCTTCGCTCACATCGACCAAGCTCAACCATCCGCTGCGAAGGAACTGCTGGAGAGGTCCGTTTCCTCTTTCCAAAGATTCTTTCGTCAAGCAGTCCACTAGCATCTTCTGGTGCGGAACCCATCGGATCATGCTCTTTGTATCTTGCAGGTCCTTAAGAATGATGGCTAGCTCCAATGCCGACTTCCGATCTTGACGTCCATTGGGATTTTCTTTGAGCAGGCGACTTGGCATCGGTGACGGCACATTAGGGTTGTCTTTCTGGAGGTCGACAGTCCTCTCTCATCAGGATCATATGTGGTTAGAGGCTGTTTCTCCAATTTCGAAGTTGAACGTCATGAAAGACGGCATCTGAAGCCAATCAACTTCCCCGATGCCCTGCAACATTGCTTGGGTTTCGCCACCGAAGGTACTGAAGACTTTTCTTTTTAATTTACCGTTTCTCCATGCCAATGGAGACGCCGGAACTGCCTGGTGTCCGACTGGTAGTCGGCTGGCAGCAAGAACCATCCGGGCTCCCTGAGTAGCGTCCGCTGGGAGGCCGACATCATCAACTTGTTCAAACTTGCCATTAATACCTCCAGCGTCACTGCGCATGCTAAATGCCATATCTGATGGGTCAAACGCCCACATGGTGATGTTCCGATCAGACGTGGACTGGAGGTAGTTGACTACCTTGTTCAGAATGAGCACGTGCGAGATGGTGGCACTTGGAAGGCGGCTGGCAAGGATGGAAGCCGTGTCTGACACCTCCGGACGGGTCTCACGTCCGAGCCAATTCAGCTTGTAGATCAAGGCCCGGAAAGCTTCAAATGGAGAGTCCTTCTTGGATTTTCGTCCCTTCGCCAGGACAACTGGGTGAATGTGCTCCACGATGTACTTCTTTTGATTGATCCAGATTCGGCCCTTCAAGCATTTGATGTGCCGACCGGCATATTCAGCTTCATCATCATCCCACTTGCCAAAGTCGAACCTCTCGGTCAGAAGCTTCCTGGTAGCCTCGTAGTGCTGAGGATGTGAGGCCGCGATGAAGTCATCGACCTTAATCAAGATCTGGGAAATAGGTCGGTTGGTCTTCTCGTCAAACTTTGACAACCAACATGGCTCGATGAGGTTCCGCACATAGCCACCCTTAACCAAGAAAGAGGTGACGGTGGTCCTCCAAGCTGCCGGAGCATCGTCCAGGCCATAGACTGGAACCACGATCTGAATCTGGTGGTAAATTCAAGCCTTCACAGGGTTCGGCATATAATGGACCAGCCTCTCTCTTCAACCGGTTGCTCTGGCAGAAAGCATTGCGAACATCTGAGAAGGAGCATTTGAAGCCCAAATTGGCCGATGACTGCAAGAATGTCATGATTGTCTCGACTTGAGGAGTTGGCGCATAGGTGATCAAAGACCCGCCCATGCAGACACCATCGAGACTTTGGCTTCCAATTTCCTTCTCCTGGCATTGGCTTTCCCCGTCTAACCATTCGTGAAGAGATGATGCGATGTCCAAACTTCTGGCGGGCCTCTGCTGCTTCTCGTCCTGTCAGCACCTTGACGGCCTTGGTCTTGACAATTGCAGACCACTCCAACTCGTCAGCCTGCTGGAATCTCTCTCGTTCTGCCTGGCTCATGTCCTTCAGACTCACCTCATCATCACGTTTGGCAAGCAATTGCAGTGATGGGAAGCCGTCCTCCAACTCAAAGGAGAGCAGTGAAAGCCCTGGTTCATCAGGATCTGACGCCTCTGGATTGAGTGGAGCTGGTGCCGGATTGTCCTTGGGCATGGCTTCTGCATCTCTTCTCGGAGATCCCTCCCTCAGTCTCTCATGCTCAGCGATCTGGGGGGCCACTCAGCGTTCTGCTGGAAGAAGTTCTGCGGGAGTCATTGTTGGAGGAGAGGGTGATCTCTCAGCAATGATTCCTGGAGGAACTGGTGACGCTTGCTGTGGGGCCTGTGTTGTTCCAGCCCAGGTGGCATCATAGGAATAGGAGCTGTGACTTCGTCTCCTGGTGGTGATCTGATCATCACCTGGCCCACTCCCTCGGCTTCCTCTATGGGTGCACATGTGTTGTTCTCAGGTGGAGGAACTTCTCGAGAGACGTCCACAGCGCCTGTCTTGATCCAGAGGGACCTGTCTCACCAGTTCGGCAACTCCTGGGTTGGTGGCAATCTCTTGGCCCAACACCTCAGCTGGCATGGCTGGGCGCAGCTGCTCAGGAGAGCAGCGCCAGAGCCTTGTTCGCATTGCCACATAGACGATGCGATTGTTGCTCACCAAGACAAGTTCTTGGCCATGTCGTCCTCGACGAAAAACATAGACCCACTGTCCCTGTGCCCACTGTTTGGTCTGGTGCGTGGCAGAGCGTGCAGCCCCGTGAATAGCTGCACGGCTGTTCTGCTCCATTGCTGCCAGTGGATTGCCTGTAGGCATCTTGAGCGGCACATAAGACCTGTGACAGGAGGTCACCTGGAACCCTTGCCACGGTCCCAAAGACCAAAGTGGCTGGAGTGAATCCACCCCGATTGAACCATTGCATGGTTCTTTGTCGCAGTGATGGCCATGAGGAACTCGTCGAGCTCGTCCCAGGTGGAGAAAAAGGATCTGCCTGAGTTGAATCTCCTTGTCGAGTTTACCCTTCAGCCACACACCATGTCTTTCGGCCTTGGCGTTCTCCCACGGGCATTCTGGAACCGTAACATGTTGCAGGATTGCCAAGGACTCGCAACCACGCTCGAGCTTGCCCTGGAACTCATTGCCCGAATCTGTGATCACCATGGATGGTGGTCCAAAGAACCGGACCCACGAGGAGAAAGGCTTTCCACGCTGTGTCAGCCAAGGTCTGCCACAGGGAGTCGTTGAACCACATGGTAGTTGGTTCCAGTGCATACCATGTTCAAGATGGCTGTTTGGGTGTCCCGAAACTTGATGTAGAACACATCCACTGAGATCAACTTGTTGAACGCAAAAGATCTTGGACTGTGCCCGACGGCGATTTGCCTGCCTGGTCGGGATGTTGCACTGAGAGCATGAGTACTCTTCGTTGATATACTTCAGGATGTAGTCGTGAGCGCCTGCCGCTCACATCGTCCTGAGAAAGTCTGCTTGTGCTGGGTGGCCTGTATTCACATGAACCTTATGCACCAATCTCTTCTGACTCTCAGTTGGCTTCCGAGCATGCTCTGTGGTGCAACCGGTCAAAGGCTTCCATGTTCTACCTCCACCTCATCTTCCGGGGCAAACGTGGGAAAAGACAACTTGGGCACCAAATCTTTCACTACAAATCAAGAGCCACCTGAATTCAAGCACACCTGCTAAGCCAAGCCGTTCTGGCCAGACGTTCGCACAAGGCAGGTGGATACCTCTGTGCCTTAAGTGGCAGGCCGCCTTCCAGGACAGCATGTGGTTCTGAGCAGGCGCGCTGTGCCTCTGACATGCAAGGGCCAAATGAGGGTTGTTGGTCAAAATTCTGGCGCTTTCTCATTTGAGAAAGCTCCCCCGTTTCGGACACTTGCAAGCCAAACAAACACTGGTCGAAAATGATGGGGGCCACTGATAGATGGGCTGCCAGGCGCGCTGCTCTGCGAGAGCTCCCAAGACCTCGCAAACGCTGGCTGCCCAATGGCAAAGAAATTCCCATCACTGGGCTGGTCCTCTGCCATCTCCAGCGACAGGTTCCACATGGTTTCTGCCATTACCTCCAGCCTCTTAATGGTGTCTGGGTGCATCTTTGCCCAGTTCAGGTTCATCACGACAGAGTAGAAACGACACTTTCGAAAGAGAATCAGCGTCCGGGGTTTGACATCTCTCCGGAAGTCTCTGAGCATCTTTCTATCTCTTACTTTGAGAGCATCCCAACCTCCAATCTTGTCGAATACTGGCTGTTGGGTCCTCAATCCAAGCTTCTGGCGACAGGACCCACTCGAGGAGGGGTGAACCTCCACCAAATCCACCTTGCTGTTCTTCCCGGGGACGTTGAAGCACAGCCTCTGCAGAGCCGCTTCGCATCTTCTCTCCTCATGCTTCATCCTGTCAGGAGGGCATTCCCGCCCGCCTGAATCTTCTGGCCTTGACCCCTGGCTGGCTGTTTTTCTTTCTTCGGGTCCTCGCCTGGTCCCGTTGGCCTCTCCAGTCCCTCTGTGCACAGTGATGGCAGATGAGCTATGAAAACGTCCTGAGAAAAACAATGGTTCATCAAAAACTGTTGCACACCGCAGGATGTTTCAGCCGATGAAAGAAATGGCCCTCGAGCTCCCAACGTGGCAGAGGCCAAAATCCACGCAGGCCATTGCCACTTGCTCAGGAATCCCACTGCAAGTTGGGATTTGCCATCTCCCAACTGTCCTCTTCTTCTTCTTCTTCCATTGGAATCAGGGTTGCAGTCGCCTGATCCACCCCCGCTTGATGCAGCCCTGCTGGTTGATCGCAGTGTCTTGAAGGGTCTGGAGAAGAAAGGCCTGACCCGTTGAGAGTTCTTGTAGCACATGCCCCATCTGTCCCAGAGCATTGCCCACCTGTGAGCTCTGGGCTGACATGGTTGTGATCAGCTGGGCGAACATGTCCTCGAGGCGAGAACTGGTTGGAGTCTCACTTGAAGACGCGCCCTTCGTGCCCATCCGGCTGGGGCCCTGTGTCAGGATTGGGGCTGACTCCTCCTGAGCTCTGGAGCAGACCGTCTTGGCCTTGGCCTTTGCTTTCTTGTCGACCATCTTGGGTGTAGCTCATCCTTGATCCGCACACCCCGCACACCACCCAAGAGGCATATTGATTGCCCCGCTTCCTCCTCCTGGTCTCGGGATGCATGCAGGTTGTCCTGCTTTGACTGGTCTGGTTCACAAAGGCCTGGCGCTCTGACTTCAGGCTCTTGGCCCTCGTCTCTGCCATCAGGAGAAGCAGCCAAGACCTGAGCCAGGAAGGTCAAATGAAATCGCTTGAGCATCACTGCCTTGCCCATCATGAGATACCCCACATAGTTTTGTATGACACGCCCGACACACAGATTCATTGGGCTCATCATTGACTGTTGCAGTAGGGGTAGCACATGGAGTGGTACGTGAAATGGTTTGCGGGAGTGGGTGTGCACCGCACACACATGTGGTGTACTGACCTGCCATGACTGCTGACAAATTGAACGGCTCTGGCTGCTGCTGCCGTTCCCTTCACGTACGCCGCAGGGGACCTGATGGGCAGGTTGAAGTCTCCATTGGACAGTCCATATTTTTCCCGCACCTCTTCTGCTCATCTCCCGCCCATTGCACTATGGGAATAGTCCTATGTCCTGATGGAAGCTTTCCCATCCGCATCTGAACATCCAACTCCTCAAAGTGGATGATGTTGTTCTCCAAGTCGATCTGTGCTTTCAAATGTTCCAGCAGGCCCACACTCAACAAGGGTGGTATGTCCGCCTTGAAGACGGTCATGGTGATGATGCCAGGAGATCCCCCTGGCGAGATGGGAACCAGCAGAGTCTGAAGAACTTTGCCTGGTCCACCGATGCCCGTCGGAATCATCGGAGGGACATCAACTTCGAGCGCCTGCAATCCACAGCACTCCAATCTCTTCTTCAAGCCCTTGGCGGCTTCGGCCCCAATCAAATCTTGGGTTGCACCAATGTCCAGAATGGCCTCTCCGGATGGAATGGTCAGGAAAGATGGACACAAAGAATCTTCCTGCAACACTTGCGCAACTATCTGATGGAGCGGGATGGCCACAAAGGAGAAAGCTGAGCCCAAAGAGCCGGACGACTCAGCTGGATCAGCCGTATTCACATAGGCAAAGGCTTGGACCTTGGGGGGGCTTTGGTCCCGTCTTCTGCTGACAGTCCTCTGCCCAGCGCCCCTTCTTCCCGTACACCTGGCAGCGGGTCACTTTTTTCAGCTCATCCCGCCTGTTCAGCCTTCTCCGGTTGGTGTTCTTCTTCTGGAAGGGCTGTCCTGGAGTGCCACCGAAGCGCCCACGAGGAGCTGCTGATCCGGTCTCGGACTTACAACTTGTTTTCTTTCCAGGTTCGCTTCCGGCGGCTCTGCAAGATGGCCAAGACCTCTTTCGCCTGGTCTTCGTCCAAATGGAGTCCTTCCAGTTCTGCGGCCAGGATCTCGTCACCCTCACCGGATTCCTCTTCGCCAGATTCGCCTTCATCGGCGTCATGCTGCAGGAAGTTGTCGAGCTGACTCAGCAAATCCAATGAGCCTATCACTGCGCACATCCAACTTGGCCAATGCCTTGGCCACTGCCGCTGGATCATCATCCTTGCCCTGCAAGATGGCAGTGAGATTCTGTTGACTTTGATGACTAAGCAGTGCACCTTCTCGAAGCAGGGTGGCCTTGAACTCGCTGGGGATGTTCACGGATGTTCATGCCGTAGGCGGAGGCCTTGACGAAGCCCCTTTCTCGACGCATTGCAAACTGCGCCAGAGTTTCATCCCGTTTCCTCTAAGTTTCACCGACTACGGCCTTGAAGGCCTCATCTTCCCGGACACCAGCCTTGCTGTCGATGATGTCGAGGATCCCGGTGAGATAGCCTGGAGCCACAAGTTCGTGTTCCTGGAGGTCCTCAAAATCTGGCTGAAGATCCCAGCCAAGAACACGGAGCACCTTCTCGGCACGGCGATGCAAAGGCACATCTGTCGTGCGGTCACACCTACGCATCGCAGCAGCCACCCTGGCCAACTTGGAGGATCTGAGTACCATGCCCTGTCCCTGCCAGTCCTTCATCCCAGGAGCGCCAAGCGCCTGAGGAGCGCCAAGCATCTGAGAGCTCGTCCCAGTTGCACACTTTACCGAATCCTGAAGCTGTCCTGTTGCAGGAGTTGCTGTGGTAGTGTTGAGGCTGAGTTGTGGCAGTGGTGGACATGTAGCTGTCCCATCCATACCAACCACCTCCGGATTGTCCTTGCTGTCCTGATCTGGCCTGAGACCATGGATCTCCTCCCGCTCCCCACCAATCATCTGCACTGCCCCATGAGATGTCTGCTTCCCGTGGGCGGGTTTGAGATTCTACCCAATCTTGCCAGTCAGCGAGCAGCTGCTGAGTCCTACTGGAACCTTCTTGTTCTCTGGGTTGAGATGGCTCGTCAGCTGGAGCACCTTGAGCTTGTGTTGCCTGAGCGCCGCTAGAAGCATCATCGCTCGCCGGGTCCCTGGACGCCATGGCCAGAGCTCCGCGCTACCAACTGACAAGTTGGCAACAACAAGTGGAAACCCTCAAGGCACGCTAGTGCAAGCCCATTTCTACCCTGACGCATTGGATCCCTTGAGCCAAGCGACGGATGCGCTTGGATGTCTTGTCAACCCGATTGGTTCACTGCACGGTAGGTGACATGTGCTGATTTCCACAAGAATCCTTTGTAGATCTGGGAGCGAGCCGTTCAAGGTGGTGATTAATCACTACCGTCGGCAACTTATACAAGCCAAGAGACTTGTTGGCTGCGAATCAAGATCTGACTCCTGGTCATTTTATGGTTCAAACGGAAAGCATAGCCAGAACAAATAAGAACTTGAGTTGTCAGGACAAGGAAAAAACACAACCAAAGTGCGACGTCAGACTGTTGGTCAATCAGTGGTATCTTATATCATCTGTGCAATTCATGATGATTTACAATCTGAGAATGCATCTATTCAAAGAACACTACTAATCAATTCAGTCCTGAAAGGCTCAAGCTGATTGCCTGGGTAGAAGCAGCAATTCATAATTCTTGAAATCTGAACCAAAGTGCCACAATGCAAAAACAATTGATGCCAGATCAAACCATGTGGTGTAAGGGAACTGTTCTGTGACATTTCGAACCAAGTCAAAACAAAATAACAAAACCTGGTCTGTGTGCGATAAAGAGCTGCTTTAAAGCGCATGGGTTCTGAAGCGAAGCAACTGGACCAACAACTCAACTAAAATGCCGAAAAGCTGCCGCTGTTGCCACTGGTTGATGAAGAAATCCTTGAATCGGTCTTCTATCAAGAAGCACGCGGAGCGACACCATCGCAGCAATGTTGCTTCGAGAACATTGCAATACAAACAATTTATGCAAAAATGAATTGCAAGGTCAGAACAAGGTTGGGGGAATAAAGGTTAGTAATTGAAGTGCAATTCCAAGGCTCAGCAAACTTCAATTCCCAAGACTTGAGAACTCTTCGAAGCCTAATGCTGCTTCGAAGTCTAATGCTGCTTCTTCAGCCAAGGACACCTCAGAAAATGCTGATGTGCTCTCTTTCGGATACGGGCGATTTCTTTGACAGCTGGCCTATCATGGCCTATCACTACACAACTTTCTTGTGCGTTTTTATTCCTGTGCCACTTGGAAACTGTGTCTCGTGAGGACTCCAGCAGATGGAGGCCCAGAATACCGCAGCGTCTGTGCAGAATGCACTGCACAAATGAAGAAGGCACGACAAACTGGCAGTGAGAGCCCGCTAGCCTCGCAGCACACAGAAAACTCAGCCTCTGTACAAACTTCAGATTTTGGTCGGCTGCCATGCCACAGCCATGCTGTACTTTAGGTCATGCATCTACGCAAACATACTCATTGTTCACATGAAGCAAAAGGCTCTGACGAAGAAAATCCAAGGCCACCAATATCCACAAATGCCACCATTATTCAAAAACAAAATTTTAGTTGCTCTGCCCCAATTTTATCCCGCAGAACTCTGTGTTGAACAAGGCACTTGTTGTGTGATGGGTATGTGTGTGTGTGTTTGCGAGCCTTCTTGTGCGTGTACGCGTGGGTGTGGGTTAGGGGTGGGGATTAGGTGTGTGTTTGTGTGTCTGCGCTCGTCTGTGCTCTTCTGTGCTTGGCGCTTGTCTGTGTTGGTGTCTGTGTATATGTGTGTGTGTGTGTGCATGTGTAGTGTGCCTAGGTGTGTGTCAGAAGGCCTGGCAAGGGCCTCCAAACGGCTGAGCATTGGAACTTTGTTGCGCCGATTTTGTTCTCAAACCGCATGCAACAATCTGCAATCTGCAATCATCAAACAGCCCACCAGTAAATAGTTGCTAGAATAAAGGTCAAATAGAAATTGTCTCAAATTTTCAAAATTTCTTGAAATTTGAGCCAAACGGTTCGAACGCAATGGATATGGCAGGCACAGATTGTCCACAGAGTACGTGCATAAAGAGCCTGTCTTCCTGAAAACCTTGGGTGGAACCTGACAGAATCAGGAGAGCCAGCTAAATCACGTAACGCAACACCACCTCCGGCTATTGTGGATGCAGAGAAACTGACTCTAAACTGCATGCAATCACATGTGGCATTGCAGAAAGGTGACAGCTGATACTCGATTGACATTTGGTATACAAAGGGTGCAGCCAACAACCATTCGGTCTTTGGTGGTCACGACTCCGCATCAATGACCCATGAGCCGAATCATTCCAAAACCACGTGTTGCAAAAACAATCAAGAATTGCGCAGCATGAAACACAGGCTGAACCCGAGTCTTTTTTCCCTTTAAGAATTTGGCTGCCACACCAAACCGCAAGTCCATGCGAACTTCAACCTGCCAGGAATTTGCGATTCCACAAATCCATCTGCCAGCAGCTATCGGCTGCACATTCATCTCGGTCTTAAGAATTGAATTCTTGCGAGATCCTTTTATAGTATTCATTCTCAAGAAACGATGGTGTCTCACTTCAATGTGCCTCTTGGGCTACATCAAGCCACCAAACCACATGGTACAGCTACGCGACATCACAAGCAAAACGTAAAAACGCCAGCACTTTTCGAAAATCGTACTGGCACGGCCGCATCAGAAAGAAATTCGTTTTTGACATCGCTTATGGAAAAACAGGTTCCGCCACAATGGTCCGTTTTTAAAAGGCAGCGTGTAATGGTTGGCCATTAGAATAGGTTTGAGGCTCAAGACCATGTACTAGGTTGGGGTTGGAAAAATAAGTAAGGGGTCAAAAAAATAGGGTCGGGGTCAAAAAAATAGCGTCCCCGAAGCCGTACAAGTACTTTATCAATTCCTTGCCAGAAGAAACAATTTCCCTTCACTTTGCGATCTGCAAAAGTACAGTCCTTGTTTTGATAGCGTATCAGATTGGTACTTGCTACTTTGCCTCTTTCTTCAGACTTTTGCAGCTGGCCACGCTTGTTGCATGGCCACTCGATGCGTAACGTAGACATATATATATATCTATCTATCTATCTATCTATCTGTCTGTCTATCTATCTATCTATCTATCTATTTCTCTCAAAAAAAATGGTTGCAATGGGTTGCTTTGGACCTAATGAGCACTTCTACCTAGATAATGATAGTGACTCTCAGGTGTGGAAACAACACCCTAAGAAAGAAACAGCCAGCCATTGGTTGATGGATACTATTTAGTATGCCCATTTTTTCTTCGCAAACAGCTCGATGGCGTTTACTTGGACCCACCTTACCATACTCAGTCGCATGCCCGCCCATTGTCGTTGCATCCATGTGGTTGCAAAACTACGAAACAACCGGATATCCCTTACGCCCTTCACGCCCTACACCCTATTCAGTACAGCCGCCCAACCAACTCGTTTTCCAACTTTGTACAACACAGTACTGCAGAGACTCTGAAAAACATGAAGCTTTACATTTGAAGTTTTCGGATATTTTTTAAAAAAATACACATGCACGGTTTGGGTTTGCCGTTGTTGAGATGGGTCCTCAGCGGATTTGTTCATTCGGAATTGGGTAATGAAGGGATTGAGAGACAGCTGTGATGAAGCGTATTCTTTTCTCCAACAGGAGCCATGACAACAGTCAAAGGGGCTGGACAAGTGGGCAGGGACATTGCAAATTTTTGTTCCGAGGAACCTTCAGCTACAGGACTTGTCTGAATGAGAATAAGAACTTGTCTGAAGACATCAACGCCATTATATATATATATATTGTAAGCCGTCCACGCTCACTAGCAGTGACCACGAGCTACCCCACCAGAAAAAGCACGAGAAAATCGGAAAAAATGGAGGATGGTTTGTGAGAGGGTGCGTGGCCATAAACTGTGATGCTCAAAAACATGTTTTCCTTTCACCAATTGTGAAAGGTGCCCTGAATGTCCAGGAGGTATACTTTGCTTTTCATGAAGCCCCAGAGGGTTTTTTTTTCCCTCTCTCGCTTTGCGCGCGATAGTAAATCAGCAGATTCCAACAGCTACCGCCTCATGCGGTTGGGCCTGCCAGGACTGGATGTTTTCAACATATCAATAGAGGGTCTGCAGGACAAAATGGAATATCATGCCAAAATTCCAGTGAAAGATTGAGAACATCAATGCCCATGGAACCTGCTGCCAAAAAATGCACGTTACCACTGCATGGCAACAACTGACAAACATCCTGGCTTGGTCGCGCACACTTTTTCTTTCTTGACGACTGCTGCCCAAGGTCTGTGCCGGGCCTTGCTCCATGACGCCTCCTCGAAGTCCTGGTGGTTGTCAAGGCTCTCCATGCTGGCTTGGGAAAACCGAGGGCTGTGATCCAGCTTGAATCCCGAAGCAGAGCGTGCGAGATCTGGCTCTGGCATGCACATCCCTTATGCACATGCACCCTCATGAGTGTCCGGAAAGGTGCATCCTGCAAGCTTTGTAGTACACGTAGTACCGGAACGTGTTTGTGCAAGCTTTGTAGTACACAGTAGTACTGGAACGTGTTTGTGCAAGCTTTGTAGTACACGTAGTACTGGAACGTGTTTGTGCAAGCTTTGTAGTACACAGTAGTACTGGAACGTGTTTGTGCAAGCTTTGCAGTAAACAGTAGTACTGTGAAGTGCTTTGTCCAAGCTTGGTAGTACACAGTAGTACTGGGAAGTGCTTTGTGCAAGCTTTGTAGTACACAGTAGCACTGGGAAGTGCTTTGGTGCAAGCTTTGTAGTACACAGTAGTATTGGGAACGACTTTGTCCAAGCTTTGTAGTACACATTATTCCAAGCTTAACGGTTTGTTGTGCATGCAAACCAGATAGCACAGGGAACTACAAAATCCAGATACCCGA